ACGTGCACAACGTTAGATTTTTGGTTATTTACGACTACTGTTTGCTGCCGGTTAGTTAAATAACATTTAAACCATTCAAGTAAAGAATCACATACACCTGTTCTAGCAATCTTCTCTAACAAAACAGGATGATTTACCCGATCGAACGCCTTCGCAAAATCAAAAGCAACACTAACCGCTAACTGTTTACTTTCTGAAAGCTTCGCTAATTCTATAGTGACATGCAATAAAGCATCTACAGTAGATGAATTAGGTCGAAAGCCAAACTGAACATGCGAGAAAAAACACGTTTTATTCAAATAACTTAATAGTGAATTATATACTAACATTTCAAAAACTTTACTAATGTTCGATAATAATGAAATCGGACGATAATTAGTACACTGTGTACGAGCTCCTTTTTTATGAATTGCCTTAATTAAAGCTGTTTTTCATATTTTGGGAAAGATTCCTTCTTGAATGGAAAATTGAAAAAGATGGTGCAATTGCGTAGCTACAACATCGTCACACAGGTTTAAAAATCTTACATGAATTCCATCTAATCCTACTGACCGCTTGTTTTTTAACTGTTTTATCATATTACTAACGTCCATTACTGAAAAAGAAATAGAATTAAGTTTACTTGGGGTTGGAATTAGTTGATTAGTAGTAGCAATAACAGAAGAAGACTTATAGCAACTAGAGAAAAATTCAGAAAACATTTCTGCCTTATTTTTATCTGTACACACGTTAACGTTTCCATTCTCCAACCTACTCGGATAATCTAAAAAACCTTTACGAAATCTATTTAAACCTTTCCAAAAAATCTTCGAATCTGAAAATTGTGCCTTAATTTTGGAAAAATGACGATATTTATCTCTACGTATAGAATTTAATACCTTATTGCGCAGTTTTTTATATTGTATGGTTTTCACAAGTGATTGTTGACGTTTCATTTTATAAAACTCTTTCTTTTTATATTGTATTAATTGTTTTGTTGTTTTTGATGGTCTAAAATTCGGGTGAATTTTAGAGGATAATTTTTTTAATGGAACACAAGTTTTTATACAGTTAGAATAATGGTTTAAGAGAATTTCTGTTTTTTCGTTTACATCATTAGAAAGATAAAATTTACTGTCAACTACTGAAACCACTCGACGCAAAAGATTTAAATCACAATTTTCGTAGTCTAGTTGAAATTGTTCTTGTTTTGGTAGATTTTCTAATTGAAAGTTAAATTTAGCTTCTAACAAAAAATGTGGTGATTTACCTATTTCTGGATGAGTTTTTGTACTCGGTTCATCCCATTCTTTTGAATAAAATATGTTATCTATTATTGTGCGTTTATGAGTAGTGAAACACTTAAAAGCACGTGTTAAAGAAAATGTTTGTAATATTTCTCTAAAACCAGTAGGAGCTTTTTCTGTATTTATGTTGAAGTCACCTGATAAAATTAAAGAAATATCTTTCCGTGAATTTTCAAGAAGAAATTTAAACAGACTATCATAATAAATTTTACGAGAAGATGGACGACGGTAAACATTACAAAAACGAAAAGGACATGCATCGATTTTAATTTCATGCAGCAAAGCCATAGCATCGTTAGATTTAGCAATTAAGGAATGTTGAATTTCTTGACTTATATAAGTTACTAATCCTTGCGATTTCCTGGTAAAATCATTTCTGTACATCAAATATCTTGGTATAGAAATTTCCTGATCTGATATAGACTCATCTGTAAAACTTTCCTGAATAGAAATGATTGCTGGTTCTTCTGCGAGTGCTATAGATTTCAATTCTTCAATGTACTTTGGGAGACTCTGTATATTGTGTGAGAATATGTTCAAAAAAGTGGTTGAAGGTGGAGGTTGTGAACTAAGAGAGAAATGTGAATTTACATCCGAGTCTTCTGAACGTGCCTGAATCTGTCATAAACAAGTGGAAAAACTATCATACATTACACGACAACCAAAAAAATTTGGATGCAGTCCATCCTTTACATACCCTGTTCAAAATTCAGTTGAAGAAAATTCACATTCTGATCCATACACAATTGTTTCAACTGTCTATTATAATCTTTTATTTTATTAAAGCCACCGACATTCAATTTTCGAGAACGAAATGGAATAGATGTTATTGATATTTTAATTTTTGGATTCAGCTCACGCGTTGTTTTAATAACATCTTTTACGTCATCGATAACACTTTCTACACTGTGATCACTAACATCATTCGTACCACATTCATAAATAATTGAACTCGATTCTTTAACGAGTCGTTCATACTGGATTTTTATTTTCTCGTTTAATTTTCTAAACTTCTAACCGGACTTCGATTGAATAAGAACAGTACAGTTTCGATGAGATAAATATTTTTGATTAATGCTTGATAATAAACTGTCACCAGGAATGATTGCATTTCTCACAACTGAAGTTTGTTTTACGTCCGATGTGGTGACTGTTGCGGAATTTGCTACTAGAAGCAGATTAGAAGATTTTGTATTCAAAATTGGATGAATATTTTGTGTTGGAGAGCTGCTCGACAATTTAACTTCAGATACAGGTACATTTGGGCTAGAACAGTAATGATCAGACGAAAACGATAAATTCAAATTCAAATTATTTGTTGTGAACTCAGGAGCTGCAGGATTTAACTGTTTCGTTTGTTTTTCTTCATTATCTCTGCTGCTTATATTATATACACATATTAAGAGAGGTCGGGGAGCTTTTCTTCGATCTCATTGTTTCAGATTTTATACGTGATTTCTGGTATAATAATGAACAAAAAACAACTCATTATCGAAGCGAAGCCGTCTCTGGTTAAGAGACTGGAAGATATGAATATTCGGGTCCCAACATCGATGAAAAAACCGGATTTAATTGAATTATTGTTAATTAACTCTGACAACAGCACGGTAAATCATTCACTTGAAAGAAAATGTATGATTAGACTGTGCTTCGTAGCTCAGAGGAAGAGCATTGGTCTAGGTAACCGATGTCACTGGGTTCGATTCCCGGTCGAGGCATACATTTTCTTTCTCGTGTTTGCCTTTCAGTTTCTCTCATGCCGCAAAAATATGTACGATAGTTTATATATCAAGTTGAAATGAAATTTTCGCCCAATAGAATCACAGTCTACGGTTCAATCGCTTCAGACAGAACAGTGTGCATTCTTCAATTCATTGGATGAAAATCATGTACCACAGATATTTGACTATGGGGAATCCGGAATTGACTCTGAGCCATCTCTAGGATTGATTTTAGTGGTTGAAAACTCCATTTCAACTTGATTGCAGGAAAATGATATACTGAAGTCGTCGCGCAGGCCGACTAATGGGAGGCCTGAGGATTGCTTTTTATTTCATATAATTTTCATCCAATGAATTGAAGAATGCACACTGTTCTATCTGAAGCGATTGAACCATAGACTCAATTCTCCTGTCCGAATACAGCCAATGTTTTTTTCCTCAGCTGTAAGGCTTCTAAAGAAACAAATGGTCCGTTCTCAAACTTTTTATTGGAAGAGAGGCGTTCAGATTCTCAGTAATTACTTAATAAATTTTCTTATATAAACCAAAAAGGTGCTCGATCCAATGTTGATGATTCAACGAACCGCAGAATATACTGGAGTAAGAAATTTGATATAGATATTATTCTTTCAATGAAAATTAACCAAGCTAATAGGTATATAGTTATCAATCGCCTCTACTTTATAGCACAAGATGAGATCAAAATTCGAATGTAATAATACTAATTTAGCCCCAGTGCTAACAACCAGGATCATTTTGACCCACACTCAAATTGATAATTGGATTTTAACCAACAGAGTGTGAAATGTAGTTTTTTGTTTTTGTTCCAAATAAAGAAAAACTATCGTCTTAATATCTTCTTGATGAAATCAGATATGAAAATGGTATAACTTACACTAAAATAATAGTTGAAAAATGAAAATGTACAGTATATCCCATACCTCAAAAGACATGGTAGTACAAGGGTGAAGAATGTATAAATCACAATAATATTACCTTGTTTTCATAAAAATATATGGTATTTCAACTGCATGGAAAAGCATGCAGAATCAATTCGTAGATGAAAGGCAAGATACTTAGGGCTATTCAAAAGTAATGAGGGAGGGAACAAACCTATCCCATGGGTTGTTTACAGTGAATTTCCAATAATCAGGTTCACATTCAAACCGCTAATCAAAGATCTACAAATTGCAAAAGACTCAGGTGTAAATTTAATTATTTGGGGATAATACGTATTCTAGACGAACCTCTTCTACGATTTTCGATCAACTTTACTGTTTTTTTCTTTTTTACATAAAAAAAGCATTTTTCCGACGGTTAGAAAATTGAATGAAAACACTTCAGAAATCATATCAGAAAAATCAGTAATCTAGTTCGATGCGCCTTCATCTCCTCTTTCCAATGGTGAAAATCGCAGTTCTCTATCTTGTTGCTATCAAATAGCATAGAAAAATAGAGCGAAAGACGCTCTATCTGTTGATAAGAAAAGAAAAAATTTCAAGCTTTCTATAAGATAAAATAGTCCCTCTCTCACTACTTTTGGATAGCCCTAAGTATAACCAAATATTCAGTAACAATAAACGCTGTATTAACATGAAAAGAGAAATAGTTATTCAATTATTTAATACTGAAAAGGTTCATGTGTACGTATGAACACAACTGCAACTTGTTGAGAAAAATTGAAAAGCGTCTCGTTGAATAGTTTTGATTGTGGCAATAAAAAATAGGTGTTGCATTAAAGAATTTAAACAAAATCAAAATTGAATATTTTCATTATATTATTCTCAACCAAACAGTCTTCGAATCGAAATAAAAAGTATGTATTCGTGACCAACTTTTCAAGCTCTATCAAACCATATATAAATGAACGAGAAAAAAAATTCACTCTAATTTGGCATATCGGGCACCTTACTATCACATGAAAAAACTAATATTTTTGGTTTGGAACAGCTCATAATCAGTGAATTTTATCACGCAGAAGAATAAAAGTTACATATTCTATTTTTCGATGTTGCGTATCGACTTTATGACTTACAATAGAAGTGTTCTTTTTGAAGGGTAAACATAATGTTTTGCTGCTCAGAGCATATTGAGTTGCTAGACGCTGCTTTTGTTTTTAACAGATAATTAAGTTAAGTTAATAGGAACATTCTCATTCATTCATTCCGACAATCAGTTTCTTATCCTGTTCAACTCTATCTGCTATAGCTAGTTATTCTGTTATACACTATAAATCCTGTTTCTTAGAGAAGAGTTTTTTGGTTTTTTTGCCATCAAAATTATTAACTTTGTATTAATAACAGCTAGCACTGAATTTCTTAATTCGTAATTCCTAATATCACAGTCAAAAACTTTGTAGTGATGAATTCCGATTCTTGTAACTTCGAATGTGCGCATAATCATTTTGCTTTAACATGATTTTTGTTTTTGAATGTTTCTGTCCATAAAAACATCTTTTTACGCTTCCCTTACTCGTCTCTCACTTTGCCACTTAAAATTTTTTTAAAAGCCTCGTAAACTCTGAAGTATTATCTTCAAGCAAATTGATTGCGATGGATATCAGTGAAACAAGAGTGAGATCAGAGCTAACGAGTAATTTGCATGAGAAGCAGAATATTTTAGGATTTTTGTAACTGAATTTTGCTAGTATTTTCTCTTCCTCCTCCTCCTCGTTATCGTTGCCTTATGAAGACTGTATCCTTGAGAGATGATAAATTCTGAATCACATTTTAGAAAAATAAAGTTTCTAATGTAAAGCCTTAACTGAGTGAGAATATTATGAATAAAAGATAAGTACCAGTTTTGATTCTCCTTGATACTTTTCTAGATATTCTTTTATTATCATTTTTAGAAGAGGGGCGGCAGCTAAAGTGTATGTGCATCTGATTATTACTTCAATTGATTGAATATTAATTCAAGTGAATATCAATCAAAGATTTCTTTTGTGCTCTGCTTTTTCAACACGGAGCACAAAAAAGTTAAGCGGATTTTTGGGTGTGGATGAATGATGCTGATGTTATTGGTAGGTCGATGAACGAATGTGAATAGTTTCTTGAAAACTTAATATTTTTTACACTTCGGTTTTGTCTTTGTATGTGAGGGTTCTTTGTCTCTTACTCTTATGCATGCGTGGAAATGTTCTGCTTACTTTTCTTTTCGTTCTTCAAAATGACGAAAAGAAAACAAAGAAAAACAACAACAAAGCACTACCTAATTTTAGATTTATTTGCAAATTTCAAAAGCATTGAAGTTGAGTTAAGATCGAATTAATGCGTTGTTGTTCATCTACTTCTATTTCATTTGCTAATTCAGCTAATACTTCTGCTATACCAGCCAGAAATCCACACATTTGAAGCCCATATTGAATAAAATTCACCTTTTGCACAAAATCGGGATCCATATTACCTGTAAATACGTTTTTGTTCATCTGAAATGATACACAAAACTTTTGACACTTAGAAATTCGACCTGCTGAACCTAAAATTATTCTGTCATCAGAGAAATGGCGGTTTTGAAAGTTCATCGCTAGTCTTCGTTTGATATCACCAATCACGCGCTGCCTCTCCTCAAATTAGAAACGTTTACCATTCTTTTCTTCTAATAAGCCTCAAATCTTCATGTTGAATAAAAAGATACCCCTTGCTTTTAAAACACTACTTTCGTTTCTTCATCTCAGCATAATAACTTGTTATAGATGGAATGAGCACATAGCGTATTGATCTCTAGATCTAGAGTTATGAACTGAGTAGCTTACCCGATTGGACTGTACCATCTTATCTATTGTGATTTGAAGTTTGATTCGAAATGTGTCAAAGTCAAAACGTTCGTTTCGATTGAATTCTTCGAAAACTTCTTAATTCAGAAAGGATATGAGGTTGGAAGATCTACCTCTAAGATTGCACATAGCTGGCAAAACCAGTCATTTCGAGCTCGTTTCAAATGAGTTTTCGAAGCTTGTCAGTCTCTTTTTATTCACGAACAAGAAAAACTGCAGTGGCATTCAGGCCGGATCAAACGAGAATTCGACATCACTTCCAGTTGCATACGAACTCCATATTTCTTCATCATGGTAGTAAACTACTGGATCTTTCTTATCATTAACGTCATCACCATCACACACAGCAAATAATTTTGGCCCCGGTCCAC